TGACGGCAACTGGATTAAGTAGATTAATATGGTAATCACGTTATTTATAGACAACGTGAAAAATGTTTCAATAGTTTTTCATAGTATCATGCAAAATGTAACTAAACTATTATTTTATCAAATTTTAATGATAAGTTAGTATTATAAAATTATAGAAAATGCTACCTGTATTTATAAAAATAATTTGAAAAAAATTACAAATTTAAAAATTACTAATTTTCAAAATTTTTTCAATTTTTATTACTTAAAACTGCCATAACTTTTTAAAAATGTCCAAATCAATATAAATTTTTTCTTATAAATCCTTGATATCATTACGTATCATTTGATATATTTATTTAATAAATTTGACCCTTTACCTGCCAACAGAGGAGTATTCAAAATGACAACTTTTTCCCAAAACTTAACTTTTGAAAATGTTCCGAAAGGTCAGACACTTTTATATATATCTTAAACAAAAGTTATTGCAATATACTTTATTATAAAAAAAAAAAAAATTTCGGACTTTATTTTGTCTTCACGGTGAAAATGGCTACCAAATGCTATTTTTGTGTGAAAATTCTCGATTTATATTTTGCATTTTATACTTTAAAATGACATAACTTATTGCAACGTGTATGGATCAACACAATTTTTTTATGAGAAATAATATTTATATCTAAAGATTTGCATCGAAGCATTTTTAAGATAGTAATTTTAATCAATGTCAGATATCATTATACTTGATCCAACTATGCCACGTCACCACTATGCTGGGTTTTTTTAAACATATACAGGGTGATTTTTTTATCATTACCCACTGAATTACTTGTAGAATAATAATAATTTAAACATTTTTTTTTTTATTATCTTTAGTTACACATTATTCTTGAATTTTGGTTTTTTATGACATCGATATTAGCAGGTACACAGCATCGTTATTATCAATGGTAGTAAGGTACATTGTTGTAAGTCTATTAATACACTAACTGACAATACAGAAAGTATATCTATTGATAATCATAATTGATAAACAATCCGTGACTGAGACAGCAATATCATAAAAATCCAATTAGCTACCTGTATTCACAATCCCATGTGTATTTATCTCCAAGGCATAAGGGATAAACTTAAAAAGTATTACATAGTTAAAAATTCAAGAATAATGTGTAACTAAAGATAATAAAAAAAAAAATGTTTAAATTATTATTATTCTGCAAGTAATTGAGTGGGTTATGATAAAAAAATCACCCTGTATATTTTTTGGTAAACTATTTAATATTTAAATTAACGGATATATTAAAATTATTGTTTTCGNGGTAAATTATTTAATATTTAAATTAACGGATATATTAAAATTATTGTTTTCGGCTCTATGGTGTCTATTTGTATTGAAATTAACCAATTTTTTATTTCTTTTTGTCTAATTAATTATCTTAATTCATAATAAAAATATTATATTTGTCATATGTATATCATATTTTATTCTTAAATAAAAAAGTATAATGAAACATTTATTCCTGTGAATAAGTTAGAAGTATTAAATACGCAAAATAATTAAGATGATTGTAAATCAGTGAATTTAAATTAAACACTACAAAATATATGTAAATATTCATAAATAAATAAATTAAATTTAAAAACACTTGTAAAACTATAAAAATGACGTATAAGATTTAGAAATAGAAACGATAAATTATTATATTATTTTAGTAAAAAAAAAATTATATTGATTTGTTCATTTTTGAAAAGTTATGGCAGTTTTAAGTAAAAAAAAAACCCAGCACAGGGGGGTCGCGGCACAGTGGTGACGTGGCATAGTTGGATCAAGTATAATGATATCTGACAGTGATTAAAATCACTATCAAAAAAAAACGCTTCGATGCAAATCTTTAGATAGTGTTTAATTTTAAAAAATTGGTGGATTATTCCAAAAGCTTCATAAACTGCTAGTTCCTTATTAATATCCTGATTAAGACAAAGTATGTCGAATAAAAAAGAGATTATTAGAAAATAGTATTTCCCATAAAAAAATTATATTGATCAATACACTTTTCAATAAGTTATAGCATTATAATGTTAAAAATGTAAAAAATAAAATTGAGAATTTTCACACAATAATAGCATTTGGTAGCCATTTTCACCTTGAAGATAAAATAAAGTCCGAAATTTTTTTTTTCCATGATAAAGTATATTACATTAGCTTTAATTTAAGATATATATAAAAGTGTCAGACTTTCCGGAACACTTTCAAAATTTAAGTTGAAAAAGTCAATTTTTTGTGAAAAAGTTGTCATTTTGAATCCCCCCCTGTAGGCAGGTAAAAAGTCAGATTTATAAAAAAAATATACCAAATGATAGGTAAAGACATCATGCATCTACAAAAAAAAGAATTATATTGATCCATACATCTTTCGAGAAGTTATAGCATTATAAAGTTAAAAATATAAAAAAGAATTTTTTTACAAAAATCGTATTTTTTTTATTAAGTTTAATGTCTGTTTTCACCATGAAGATAAAATAAAGTCCGAAATTTTTTTTTACCATTATAAAGCATATTACATTAGCTTTAATTTAAGATATATATAAAAGTGTCAGACCTTCCGGAACACTTTCAAAAGTTACGTTGAAAAAGTTCTACTTTCTATAAGCATTTTTGTGTTTTGAATCCCCCCTATATTTAGGGAAATGGTCAGATTTAAAAAAACAGTATGTCGAATGAAAGATCTATATAAATACTACTTCTCATAAAAAAATTGTAATGATTCATACATTTTTCAAAAAGTTATAGCATAATAAAGTTAAAAATGGAAAATACAAAATCGAAAATTTTCACACAAAAATAGCATTCGGTAGCCATTTTCACCATGAAGATAAGATAAAGTCCGAAATTTTTTTTT